TGGGTCATTAGAGGGAAGAGTCTCATAGACTTTCCTGCTCAGGCTGGCTTTGAAACAGCATCCTCAGATCTCAGGTTCCTGAGTACTTAGGATCACAGGCATGAACCACTGGCACCCACACTAACTTTCTAGAATCTTGAGAAACTGACCCTCCAACTTGTGAAATAATCTGACCACAAGAAGAGCCCTTGTCTTCCAAACTCCTGACATTAAGCAGAGATATACCCTGATGCTCAAGTAAGTTCTCATGAAGTTTCTGATTCTGGGATTGTTTTCCACATTCTAAGATGGCCGACCAAGTGTGTCCCCTATGTGTGCTTTTGCCCTGGGCACCTGGCCGTGGGGTTCATGGCTTCCTCTCCTGTAGGGGGTGGCCCACAGACTCACCTTCATGAAAGAGTGAAAAAGGCATCGATGCAGAACTGCAGCACGTTCCCCAGGAAAGGAATTGGGGTGGGGCCTGGGGGCAGCTTTCCTCCCTTGTTGATTTGATTCCAGGCCATGAGGATGTACAGACAAGACATACTGAGTGCCAGAAACATGGTCAAGGCCCCGCCTAGGTCCACTGTGCCACACGGAGAGAGAGGTTTGCTCCTCGGCTTCAGATCCTTCCTCAATAGTTTCTGGGAGGTGAACCTAAAATCTGAGCATCCTGAAGCTCGGGTGTGCAGGGTGTAATGATTCCTTGGCAGGGGGTTTTTGTAAGTCATAATCTCCCCCCTGAGTACAATATATTGAATTCACCCTTGGGAAAATCTCTGGGAAGGGGCCTTCTCCTTTCTTCCTATTTCTTGTTGGTTTTTCTTCTTCTTCATTTTTTGTCAGTTGTGGGGCTTGAACTCAGGGCCTGGACACTGACTCTGAGCTCTTTTGCTCTACCACTAATAGAGCTAGTGCTCTACCACTTTGAGCCACAGTGTCACTTCTGGCTTTCTAGTGGTTGATTGGAGATAAGAGTCTGACAGGGACTTTCCTGCCTGGACTGGCTTTGAACCACAATCAACAGATCTCAGTCTCCTAAGTAGCTAAGATGACAGGCGTGAGTCACCAGCAGCCGGATTCCAATTCTTAATTTTGACAGGAAGCCAAAGGGAAAAGAATAATCTCTTGGATAAACTGTTGGAGCCAGTCAGAAATGGCACTGTGGCTCAAAGTGGTGGAGTGCTAGCCTTGAGCATCAAAGCTAAGAGACAGTGCCCAGGCCCTGACTTCAAACCCCATGATGAACAAAAATGGGAAATTTGTTCCATAAATACTTGACATCAAGTTAACTTAAAATACCACAGGCTGTTATGGCCGGGCAGGTGTGATGCCACCGGGGTCTGGTCTGGGGCTGGTGTGGTGGTTTGGATGCTGAATGTCCTCCAACAAAGGCTTGGGCCCCAACTGGCTGTGAGTGGACAGAGGTAAAAACTCTAAGAGTCTGGACTTAATGGGAGATGTTAGGTTATTTTGAGGCTGCCTTATAAAGGCCCATGCAGAGTTCCAAGCCCTTCCTCTTCCTCTTCCTCACTTCCCATCCATGGAGGAACAGCTTTGATCTCCCCTTCCTGTTCCAGGTACTGCCTCCTCCCACCTCCAAAGTTCTCTCTTTCACTCTATGACTCTATGACTCTATCTCTCTGTCTCTTTGTCTCTGTCTGTCTGCCTCTCTCTCTCTATCTATCTATCTATCTATCTATCTCTATCTCATGCAAGTAGAGGGGCTTGAACTCGGGGCCTGAGCACTATTCCTGAGCTTCTTTGCCCAAGGCTGGCACTCTACCACTTGAGTCACAGCTATACTTCTGGCTTTACTGTAGTTCATTGGAGAGAGTATCATTGACTTTCCTGCCCAGGCTGGTTTTGAACCACAGTGCTCAGATCTCTGCCTCCTGAGCAGGTAGGCGGACAAGCTTGAGCTAGTGGCCCCCAGCTTTAGCTGTCTCTCACAGCACCTATCACTGTCTGCCCTCACCCTGTTTATTAATCCTCTCCTGCAGTGATGTCAGTTCACCAGGAGAGGGATGTTTCCTTGGTTTGATGGCCAAATCCCAACTCAGCACTCTGCTGCCACCTAGTGGTCAAGGGGGAGCAGTGCATGAGCTCCCCTCAAACACTTGTCAGCCTGTTTGTTTGATGGTGGGTGGGGAAAACGGAAAACTCTTTGTGAACATTACTAAGAATTCACAAAATATGTACTTTGCAACATGAGAGGAAAAAAGTCACCTCATGGACAAGGTACTGGCAAACAAATCAAAATGTGTGGAATTTACAAGTCACTGTGTAGACTTCCCAGTCTTCCTAAGGGCTCAACTCCCCTGTCTAGAACCAAGCATTGTGAAATGTCAAGTGTTTGGTAAATGCCGAAGCTCACACACACACACACACACACACACACACACACACACACACACACACACACACACACACACACACAATGTTCTGTAAGCAGAATATTCTATTTACAGTATTGTGGAATATTCACACAAATACAAAATGTTCTGTAAGCAGAATACTCTGTTTACAGAGCATTGTGGAATATTCTGTGAAGCGCTCTTTCTAAAGGCAATGGGGTGAGTGCGCGTGCATGGGCGTATGCATGCACTCGCCTGAATTCATTCTCTCTCCCTCTTCCCCCACCCTCTCTGAACCTTGCTCTCTCCACTGGTTTATTCTCACCCTACTACGTTTAGACATCTGGCTTCTAACCAGATTCTGCTGTCAGCTCCTTCTCATCTGAGTGGAAATACAAGAGAAATCTGCTCCCAACCGATGTGCAAATCACAATCTAGAAACACAAGTAATATGAAAAGGCAAAGCCACATATCACTCCTTCAGGACCAAAGGGACTCACGAATAAAATCTATCAGATATTTGTAGGCAAAACTATGCTTTGATTTTAAAATGGCCCTCAAATTATCCACCCTCCTCCCCCTCAAAAAAATATAGGAAGGGAAACAATGTTACTGAAATCATTCTATGAAGCCAGTATGAGACCCTATAAACCAAAACCTGGAAAAGACATCACAAAAAGAAAATTGTCACCCAATTTCCTCAATGAGTGTGCACACAAAAATTTCCAAAAAGGCCAGGCACCAGTGACTTGGGCTGTAAACCTAGCTATTCAGGAGGCTGTGATCTGAGGGTTATGGGTCACATCCAGCCAGGGCAGGAAAGTCTATAAGACTCTTCCTCCAATGAACCAACAAAAAGCCAGAAGTGGAGCAATGGCTCAAGTGGTAGAGCACTAGCGTTGAGCATAGAAAGCTAAGTGTGATGTAAGGCCCTGGGTTCAAGCCCCAGTACTAGCACAAAAATAGATAAAAGGATGGACAGATGGATGGATAGATAGATAGATGATAGAGATGGATAGCTAGAGATAGATGAATAGACAGATAGATGATAATGAAGAAAGAAAGAAAGAAAGAAAAAGAAAGAGTAGGTACTCCAAGGTGCCAATATAAGAATCTCACCACTCAGGGGCATGGATCAAGGAGATGCTTGTTCAGAGAGAAGTAGAGGAGGAAGGTGAGAATGCAGGTGGCAGAGGGCTATGGCCTTGGGTGGTTATGATCCTTTCCATTGGGGAGGAACATGGAAAGTACCATGTGGAGTAAAAGCAGCAGACACAGGAGATCACCTGTTTGATTCTTTTTTTTTTGTTCTGTTATGAGGCCTGAACTCTGGGCCTAGGCTCCATCCCTCAGCTCTTCAGCTCAAGGCTAGCACACTACCACTTGAGCCACAGCGCCACTTCTGGGTTTTTCTGCTTATGTGGTGCTGAGGAATCGAACCCAGGGCCTCATGCAAGCAAGGGAAGCGCTCTACCACTGAGCCACCTTCTCTGATTGTATTTATTGAAAATCTGCCGAATAGAGAAGCCAGTCCACACCAGGCCCGTTGCTGGGGGCAAGGACTGGGGGAGGGAGGAATGGGAGGCAGGAATTGAGGGATGATCGTTTTATTAGGTGCCAAGTTGTGGAAGGAATGACCAAAATGTGCTGAACTCAGAACCAGTCATGGTGCAACTCTGTGAATGAGCCAAACGCCACATTGGAAAGCAGTGCATTTTGCATGCTGTGCATCTTTCTTGGGATCTACATGGAGGGCGAGGGGTGGCCCCAGGGAAGAGTTTGGACAAATTCTGGAGTCACACAGAACCCGGCCCCTCCACTCACGCCGGTGTGACCACACACCACCGATGCCATGTTGTGCTAGGGGTCTCGTGTGCATCTGTAAGAGCAGCGTGCAGCCGGGGGCTCATGCCTGTCAGCCTGGCTACTCAGGAGGCTGAGATTGGAGGATCCTGAAGACCATGGTTCAAAACCAACATTCTCCCCAACTCCTGGGCAGGAAAAATCCATGAGCCTCTTATCTCCAACGAACCAGCAAAAACAAAAAAAGCTAGAAGTTGGGTGGAGGTGTGACTCAAGTTGTAGAGCACCACCTTTGAGTGAAAAATGAAGTAAGAACATGACACTCTGGGTTCAAGCCGTAGGACAGGCAAAGAGAAAGGGAGGGAGCAAATGAGCAAGAGAGAGACACAGACAGACGTGGCCATTGTACCCACCCCATTGGACAGACAAGTTGAGTATTGAGAAGGCATAGCAGAGTCCTTGAAATCCTGCAGAGCACGGGAAGCCAATGGATGGGGGGGGGGGGGGGGGCGGGGCATGGAGCTGAGCAAGGGAGCGCCATTTTGCATTAGACAGTGGCTTAGAAACATAACCACACAAGGATCTTGAGCCAAATTTCTCCTCTCAGCCCTGCTTCTGGATATGTACACCCAAGAAAGAGGCTTTGTGGTTGTTATCATTCTTGTTGTTTTGCATGATTGCTTCTAATGGCTGAAATCTTTCTTGTCAGTTATGGGGCTGGAACTCAGGGTCTGGGTGCTAGCCCTGAGCCTCTTTGTGCTCAAAGCTAGCACTTTACCACCTGAGCCACAGCGTCACTTCAGGTTTTTCAGTGGTTCATTGGAGGTAAGAGTCTCATGGACTTTCCTGCCCAGGCTGGCTTTGAACTTTGATTCTCAGATCTCAGTCTCCTGAGTAGCTAGGATGACAGGCGTGAGCCATCAGCACCCAGCTTGCAATTGTTTAGAGGAGAAGAAAGACCTGGTCAAGCTATGAACATGAGAGACTGTTCACATCCAAGATGGTGGATAAGGCTTTCCTACAGAGGTGGGGGACATTTCATGACCTCAAATCCTCTGAGCCCTCTTCTGCGGTTCAGAGGGGCAGGAAGCGCAGCTGGTAGGTGGGGGGCACTCTGCCCACGCCACACTCACGGGGGGACAGGTCAATGTCCTTCGGAGCCATGGGGCTGGCCAAGGAGAAGTGCTGAAGGATGGTGGTAAAGAAGAGGAATAATTCACTCCGGGCGATTCCTTCACCGAGACAGATGCGCTTCCCTGTGGGCACAGAAGAGCAGCCTGTGGATGCTGGGACAGGGCAGAGTCTTGGCCTGGCCTCATCCTTACACCCAGATGCCTGTGCCCTCAGAGGGAATGGACTACAGACTGGAGATTAGGGGTACATCTTTTTTTTGGGGGGGGTAGGGTCCTGATCCTTCTGACGCTGGGAGGAGAAGTTGAGGTGGGTGTCCTGTGTGCATTTCTCTACTTCTTTTGTGCCCACCCTGGGATTTGAACTCAGAGCCTAGGCACTGACCTTCAGCACTTCTCATTCAAGGCTGCTACTCTACCATTTGAGTCACAGCTCCACATCTGGCTTTTTTGGTGGTAACCGGAGTTAAGAGTCTCATTGACTGTTCTGCCTGGGCTGGATTTGAATCCTCAGATCTCAGCCTCTTGAGCAGCTGGGATTACTGGTGTGAGCACCGGCACCCAGCTGAAAAGTAGGTCTTATAGACTGTTAGCTCAACATTGGTTCCCATGAGGAATCCTAATGTGGGTGGGGTGGGTGGGGAATCGCGCCTGCGTGGGCAAGGGTCCAACATCCTTTGGCACCTCTAGAATGGAGGAGGCAGGTGGTAGGGAGGGCTCAGGCAGGCCCTTCCCCAGGAACTGGTTCTGGGACTGGCTTTTCTCCCTTCTTTTTCCTTAGGGCTACTTGGATAACCTTGATATCTCCTTGGTTCTCGTGGTCTATTAATTCAGTCTGTCTGCAGTAGGAAGCCTCTATATGTTTCTTTTCCTTGTTGTTGTTGTTGATGGGGGGGGGGGGGCACATGCACGCCAGACCTGGGGATTAAACTCAAGGTCTTGGTGCTGTCCTGAGCTCTTTCTTCTCAAGACTGTGACTTGAGCCACAGCTCTACTTCTGACTTTTTGCTGGTTCATTGGAGATAAGAGTCTCAAGGATGGGGCTGGGAAGGTGGCTCAGTGGTAGAGCGCTTGCCTTGCATGCATGAGGCCCTGGGTTCGATTCCTCAGCACCACATAAGCAAAAAGAAAAAAAAGCTGGAAGTGGCGCTGTGGCTCAAGTGGTAGAGCACTAGCCTTGAGCTGAAGAGCTGAGGGATAGTGCCCAGGCCCAGAGTTCAGGCCCCACAACTGGACCCAAAAAAAAAAAAGAGTCTCAAGGATTTTCCTACCCTGGCTGGCTTTGAACTGTGATCCTCAGATCTCAGCTTCCTGAGTAAGATGACAGGGGTGAGCCACTGGGGCCCACCCCAAGATGTGTCTTTAGGACATAATCTAACCTCTCAAGTCCCCTCACCAGATTGTAGTGCAGACAGAATGGGGGTGGTTCAGACTAAGCAGCTAGAATGTGCTATATGCTCAATAAACAAGTACCTGCTGTTGTCTGTCTCAGGAAGAGGGTCGGGCCTGCCCTCTGGTGTCCGGGAAAGGAATGGAGGATACCACTTACCAATGGAAAAAGGCATGAAGGCATCATTCTTCTTCACTGCCCCGCTGGCATCCAGAAAGTGGTCAGGGTTGAACTCATCTGGTTTTGCAAAGTAGTGTGGGTCATGGAGAGCAGAACTCAGGATGGGGTAGACTTCAGTGTTCTAGAAAAGGTTACAAGATCAAAGATCAAAGATATTGCTCTTTCTGGGACTGGACTGGAGGTGTGGTTTAGCTGTAGAGCACCTGCCTAGCCAGCGTAAAACCAAAACAAAGTTCAAACACCAGTAGCATCATATATATATATATATATTATACTCACATGTAAGAAAATAGATTAAGTTTTGCAAAAATAACGAGACCCTGTTGAAAAATAGCAACAAGTTGAGATAGAGGGTTAAGGACAGAAGAGATAACCTGGGCACCTGTAGTTCACACCCATAATCCTAGCTACTCAGGACCTGAGATCTAGAGCATCTCAGTTTGAACCCAGCCCAGATAGGAAAATCCATGAAACTCTTCTGTGGTTCAAGTGGTAGAGCACCAGCCTTGAACACAAAAACTCAGGAACAGACCCCAGGCACTGAGTTCAAGGTGAAAAAAAGGAGGGGGAGGCAAAGGAGGAGGAGGAAGGAGGAGGAGGGTAAGGAGAATAAGATGAAGGAGGAGGAGACAGAAAAAGAATGGCAAGGAGAAGAAAAGGAGGAAGAGGAAGAGGACGAAGGAGGAGAAGGAGAAGGGAAGAGGAGAAGAAGGAAGAGAAAGAGACAGAGAAGGAGAGGAGCAGGAGAAAGAGGAAGAGCAGGAGGGCGAGGATGAAGACTAGGTCGAGGACTAGGTCGAGGAGGAGGGAGAGGGGAAGGGAGAGGGGAAGGGAGAGGGAGGGGCCCAGCCTGCCTCACCTTGGGGATGATGTACCCTCGGAACTCAGTGTCCTTGGTGACCACATGAGGCACCCCGATAGGGAGGAGGTCAGAGAACCTCTGGATCTCGTGGATGACAGCGTCGGTGTAGGGCATTTTGGTGCGGTCATCGAGGGCTGGCGGGCGGTGAAGGCCAATGACCTCCTTGATTTCCTTTTGGACTCTCTCTGCACAGACAAGAGGGACCGTGAGCTGCACCTCACGGAGACACTGCAGCGAGGACACTGTTTCCCGAGTGTTCATGATGCCATGACAACCTGCAGCGACTAGCTCCGTGATCGATGCCCTCAGCACAGTCCTCTAGGGGACAGGGCAGGGGGAGACACAGCAAGAATTCACAGCATGTCCCGTCATAAAAGTGTGTGCCCTTGTGGGGCTGGGAAGGTGGCTCAGTGGTAGAGCACTTGCCTTGCATGCATGAGGCCCTGGGTTCGATTCCTCAGCACCACATAAGCAAAAAGAAAAAAGCCAGAAGTGGCGCTGTGGCTCAGGTGGTAGAGCGCTAGCCTTGAGCTGAAGAGCTGAGGGACAGTGCCCAGGCCCAGAGTTCAGGCCCCACGAACGGACCCAAAAATAATAATAATAATAAAAGTGTGTGCCCTTGGGTACCCATGAGTAAATCAATCGATCAATGAGTAGATGGATGGGTGAGTGGATGAGTGGATGGATAGATGAACGGATGGTTGGTTGGGTGAATGGATGAATAGATGCATGGGTTGATTGGCTAGATGAGTGGATGAGTGGATTGGTGGACAGATGGATAGAGTGGATGGATGGATGGATGGATGGATGGATGGATGGATGGATGGATGGATGGATGGATGGATGGATAGATGGATGGATGGATGGATGGATGGATGGATGGATGGATGGATGGATGGATGGGTGTGTGGATGGGTGGATGGGTGGGTAGATTGATGAGTGGATAGCTCAATTTTTTAAGCAATGTGACAAAGGAGTGGAAGAAAGAATCAACAATTCTTTCTTTGCCCAGCAGAGGACAGGCTTAGTTAGGAGGTCGTCCACAGCCTGGAGAGAGGCTGGAATAAGAGGCCAGCGTCTCTCTCATGCTTTGCCCACCTCTGCAGCGCACAGAGGCTCCGCAGGCCTCGCCGATCGGCTGCCCTACCTGCGACGTGGGGGAACTTCATCAAGATGAGGCAGCCGAAGCGCAGGGTGGTGCTGCTGGTCTCGGTGCCCGCAAAGAAGAGCGAGAGCAAGGAAATGATGAGATTCTGATGGTGGAACTCGGTGTGAGGGTTGGATTTCTCCTGGTTTAGAGGAACAGGGGAGGAGGGGGATCAGAGGAGACAGAGACCTCACTGTGGGAAGGTGCACAGAGTCTCCGGGTGCCCTCCCTGTTTTAGGATTCATGCTATTTCACCTGCTTTGCTGTGCTGAACACATCAACCATTCAATTCTGTCTCTGGCTCTCTCTTCCCTCTATCTTACTCTCTTATTCTTTTTGTTATTGTTGTTGTTGGTCATGGGGTTTGAACTCTGGGCCTGGGTGCTGTCCCTCAGCTCTTCAACTCAAGGCGAGAACTCTACCACTTGAGTCACAACGCCACTTCCGGTTTTCTGGTGCTTAATTGGAGATAAGAGTCCCACAGACTTTCCTGACTGGCTGGCTTTGAACAGTGATCCTCAGATCTCAGCCTCCTGCATAGCTAGGATTACAGGAGTGAGCCACCAGCACCTGGCTTCTTCTGTTGTTTGGTTCTCTCTCTCTCTCTCTCTCTCTCTCTCTCTCTCTTTCTCTCTCTCCTCTCTCTCTCTCTCTCTCTCACATACACACACACACACACACACACACACAAATACACATTGTAAAGTTGATGGGGAGGATGTTACAGTTATATAAGCCAATCCTGGGGCTTGAACTCAGGGACTGGGCACTGTCTTGAGCTTTTTTTTTTTTTTTGGTGAATCGTGGGGCTTGAATTCTGGGCTTGGGCACTATCCCTCAGCTTTTCAGCTCAAGGCCAGTGCTCTGCAGCTTAAAGCACAGCACCACTTCTGGTTTTCTGGTGGTTTATGGGAAATAATAGTCTCATGGACTTTCCTGCCAGGACTGGCTGGGAACCCTGATCCTCAGAGCTCAGCCTCCTAAGTAGCTAGGATTAGAGGTGTGAGCCACCGGAGCCCTGCTGTCCCTGAGCTTCTTTTGCTCAACATTAGCACCCTACCACTTGAGCCACAGTGCCACTTCCAGCTTTTTCTGTTTATGCGGTACTAAGGAATCTAATCCAGGGCTTCATGCATGCTTAGCAACCACTCTACCACTAAGCCACATTCCAAGCCCAATGAGTACATTTCTTTTTTTTTGTTTGTTTGTTTTGGGTCCAGTCGTGGGGCCTGAACTCTGGGCCTGGGCACTGTCCCTCAGCTCTTCAGCTCAAGGCTAGCGCTCTACTACTTGAGCCACAGCGCCACTTCCAGCTTTTTTTCTTTTTGCTTATGTGGTGCTGAGGAATCGAACCCAGGGCCTCAAGCATGCAAGGCAAGCGCTCTACCACTGAGCCATCTTGCCAGCCCAGTACATTTCTTTTTAAACACTGTTATCTCCTCCCCACACCCCTTCCAGTTTCTCTCTTTCTCTCCCATTCTCTTTCTGTATCTGTGGGTCTTTTTTCCCCTGGGGTTTTCTTTTTGCTGTTGTTTTATTTTACCATGCCCATTTTCCTCTGACAGTCCCCTTCTCTGGATGGATGGATGGATGGATGGATGGATGGATGGATGGATGGATGGATGGATGGATGGATGGATGGATGGGTGGATGGATGGATGGATGGATGGGTGGGTGGGTGGGTGGGTGGGTGGATGGGTGGGTGGGTGGGTGGGTGGATGGATGGATGGGTGGATGGATGGATGGATGGATAGGTGGGTGGGTGGGTGGGTGGGTGGATATATGAGTGGTTGCATGCGTTGATCAATGGGTTGATACGGGGGTGGATGGGTAGTGGTGGATAAGTGAATGGGTGGATAAGTGGCTGGATAAGGGATGGGTGGGTGGATAGATAGATGGGTAGATGGATGGATAGCTGGAAAACTGAATGAATGGGTGGAGGGTGGGTAAGTGGATGGAGGATGGATATGAGTGAATAGATGGATATTGTTTAGAGGAATGGATGGGCATGGGTGGATGCATTGATGGATAAAAGAGTGGTTGGGTAGATAAATAGATGGGTGGTTGAATGTGTGGGTAAGTGAATGGATGGAGAAAGTGGAAGATGGATTGTGAATGAGTAGATGGGTGTTGGGTAGATGGATGATAGATAGTGGGTGGAGGCCTTGGTGGATGGATGGGTGGATGTGATAATCGATGTCTGAATTGATCCTTCTCTTCCTTCCTTATAATCCTATCCCTGTCCTCTCCACTCTGCTCTTCCTCTCCTCCATTTCCTTTCCTCTCTGGCTGCCACCCTTTTCCCGTGGCACCTACTTTGTCCATGCGCAGGAGGTAGGTATCGATGAAGTCTCTCGGCATGCTGGGGTCCAGGGTTGCCCGGTGCCATTCCACACGCTGGGCAATGAACGCGTTGACCTCCTGCAGGTTTTTGTAGATCTCTCTGTGCTTCCCAGGAAAGTGCTTCATGACACTGGAGAAAAGCTCAAACACCTGCCACCAGAAGCAGGGGCCAGAATATCCGGGGCGGGTCAGGGAGGGGCGCTTCATGTGGAACCCTCACTCCCCCCTTCCCTCCCTTTCTCACACACACACACACACACACACACACACACACATTGTCTTGCACAATTTGCCTCTATTCTGTCTTTTTTTTTTTTTTTTTTGGTGGGCCGTGGGGCTTGAACTCTGGGCCTGGGCACTGTCCCTCAGCTCTTTAGCTCAAGGCGAGTGCTCTACCACTTGAGCTACAGCGCCACTTCCGGTTTTCTGGTGGTTATTGGAGATAGGAGTCTCAGGGTCTCTCCTGCCCGGGCTGGCTTTGAACCGCAATCCTCAGATCTCAGCCTCCTGAGTAGCTAGGATTACAGGCGTGAGCCACCAGCGCCCGGCTCTGTCTTGTCTTCTTATACTTAACTCTTCCTATCTTCTTCTTTCCTTTCTTTGCCAAGTTCTCATTCTCTTGTCATCTCTCTGACTCTCAGCTGGCTTCCCTCTTCCTTCCTTTCCACCTTTCTTCCTTCTTTCCTTCCTTCCTTCCTCTTTCCTTCCTTCCCTTCTTTACATTCTTTCCACTTTCCTTCCCTGGTTCATTCCTTCCTTCCTCCCTCCCTTGCTTTCTTCCTCCTTTCTTTCCTTCTTCCTTTTTTCCTTCCTTCCTTTTCTCCTTCCTTCTTTCCTTCCTTTTCACCTTCATTCCTCCCTCCCTCCCTCCTTTCCCTCTTTCCTTTCTTTTTCCTTTTCTCTCTGTCTCTCTGTCTCTCTCTGTCTCTGTCTCTCTCTCTTTCTCTCTCTCTCTCTGTTCACCGTCTCTCCCTAAATACAGATCTCAGCCTCCCTGTCTCCCGCTGTGGTTTCTGCCTCTTCCATTCCTTTTGAGCCTCCAAAACACATCCTCCTTTTCCCTTCCACCCTGTGTGGGAGCCTCTGCCCCCTTCTCTCCCTCCCCTCCACACCTGGCTGTAGAAGGAGCTGATGAGCGCGAAGCTCTGATAGAACATGTCCAGGAGGTGCAGGAAGTTGTGATCTTTGTAGTCAAATCGTTCTCCAAAGACGATGGAACAGATGATGTTGGCCGTGATGGACTGGAAGAGGAAGGTGGGGTCCACGAGTTCCCCTGGGAGGAGAAGTGGGGGGCACAAGAGTCTGGGGATCAGCTTTCCTCCTCTGTGTGTGACTTTTCTGCATTGCTCAGTACTGAGCATTTTTTAAAAATCTGTCTCTCCTTCCCTGTTTCTCTGCCTGTGCCACTCTGGTTCTGTGTGTGTGTGTGTGTGTGTGTGTGTGTGTGTGTGTGTGCTATTGAGGCTTGAAGTCAAGGCCTCTCACCATCCCTTGGCTTTCTTGTTCACAGCTGGAGCTCTACCACTTGAACCATGCTTCCATCTCTGCTTTTTTTGTTGGCCCTAGGGCTTGAACTCCAAGCCTGAGCTCTTTTGCTCAAGGCTAGCACTCTACCACTTTGAGTCACAACACTACTTCCGGTTTTCTGGTGGTTCCTTGGAAATAAGAATCTCACAGACTTTCCTGATGGGCGTGGCTTTGGATGGTAAATCCTCAGATCTCAGCTTCCTGCATAGCTAGGATGACAGACATGAATCACCTGCACCCTGCTGCATCTCTGCTTGTTTGCTGGCTCGCTGGAGATGAGTATCTCACAGATGTTTCTGTCCTGGCTGGCTTCAAATTGCAATCCTCAGATCTTGGCCTCCTGAGTATAGCTAAGCTGATAAGGCAGGAGCCACCAGCGCCCAGCACTTGAGTCATTCTTGAACATAATCATCAATAATCAATAATCATGCTTATTTCCTTGGGGGTCCACCTGTCTGTCTGTCTGTGTATCTCTCATTCTCGTCTTCATCCTTAGCTCTCTGCTCACATGGACAGCTCTGTCTCTCAATTGCTCCCCACCCCCAGCCCATCCCCCTCCTCTCTGGGCCTGGGCCTCACCATTGGTTTTCCGCAGCTCCTCCACCAAACACTGCGCCTCCTCCTGGATCCGCTCCTCCACACTCCGCTTCCCCATCCCAAAATCCCTCATGGTGGCCAGAGAGAACCGCCGAAGGGTCTTCCACCGCTCCCCGTTGGCAAATACCACACCTGGCAGGGGAGAGGGGTCATGGAGGCAGGAGTTACAGGAGGAAGATCCAAGGAGACCAGGTCCTCCTCTCCCCCTTCCCACCTTCTCCCCTACATCCTGCAGGCCCTTACCATAGTCCTGGAAGATTGGCTGGACGCTGGCAATCGTCCCTCGGCCAGAGAAGGCCTCAGCCTGGTCCACCAGGGCCTCCCGGATGGTGTCAGTCCCACACAGCATGACCACCGGCCTTGATCCCAGATACACGGTGAACACATCCCCATACCGTTCTCGAAGCTGCCATGGCAAGAGTTACTGCTAGTTCCTTATGAGACTGTTCAAACCATTAGATGCAGCCAGCCCTCTGGCTGATGGCTCACGCCTGTAAGCCTAGATACTCAGGAGGCTGAGATCTAAGGATTGTGGGTTGACCCAGCCCATGCAGCAAAGTCCATGAGACTCTGAGCTCTAATGAACCACCAGGAAATCAGAAATGGAGCTGTGGCTCAAAGTAGTAGAGTGCTAGACTTGAGCACAAAAGCTCAGGGCCCATTCTCAGGTCCTGAGTTCAAGCCCCATGACTGAGAAAAAATAATAATAATAACAAAAGCAAAAAAAAAGGACTGTATGTGAGGCCCAAGTGGTAGAGTTTCCTGCACAGCAAAGCATGAGGCTCTTGAGTTTCAAACCCTAGTACCACCAAAAAAATAAATATAACAAATGAATATAAGATACATATAATTATAAGGCAGGCAGTAATTGATCCCTCTGGTGGAATGTTACACAATGAAAAGGATAAGTCTACCGCTATCACTGACAACAGGGATGGAATTAGAAGAGAGAATGTGGGGTGAAAGCAGCTAGACACAAAAACCCCATTTGGTTTGTCTTTTGGTGCTACTTACAGGAAGTTTAGCCCCAGGTGCATCCAATGCCCAGCAGCAGGATAATGACTAGAATGTGGGAGGTGGCAGGTTACCCCAGAACGGGCTCTGGTCTTACTTGGTCTGTGTGTTCTGTTACAATCTCCTCAGGCTGTGCACTCTTCAGGGTGATGGTCAACTTCACTTTTGTTGTTGCTGTTGTTGTCAGTCATGGGGCTTGAACTCAGGGCTTGGGCGCTGTCCCTGCACTCTTAGCTGAAGGCAAGTGCTCTACCGCCTAAGCCACAGCACCACTTCTAGTTTTCTAGTGGTTAATTGGAGATAAGTGTCTCACAGATTTTCCTGCTCAGGCTGGCTTTGAACCGTGATCCTCAGATCTCAGTCTCCTGAGTAGCTAGGATGACAGGCTCACACCAGCACCCGGCTCAACTTTACTCTTGACTCAAATAATCATAGTAATAAGCCTGGTAGCGCCTATCTGTAATCCCAGCACTCACTCAAGAAGCTAACTCCTGGGAGGTATGGGAAGGGGAAACAAAGGAGGAGGCAACAATGCTTGATAAGAAATGTACTCATTACCTTGCCCATGTAATTGTAACCCCTCTGGTTGGATCTTTACTTTTCCCAGTCTGGTTTTGTGTGAGGACTTAGGCTCCTAGAGTCTGTAGTCTCGTCTGCAGCTCAAACACTGGGTTTTCACCAATTCTCTGTGTATATGCACATGTGTGTGCATGCATGCATGTGTGTTCACATGCATACAAAGCCTGGGGCTTGAACTGAGGGCCTAGGCACTGTCTCTGAGCGTTTATGCTCCAGGCTGGCGCTCTACCACTTGAGCCACAGCTCCACTTGCAGTGATTTTGCTGATTCATTGGAGGTAAGAGTCGCACAGTCTCTCCTGCCTGGGTTGGTTTTGAACCACGATCCTCTAGATCTCAGCTAGGAAGACAGCTGTGAGCCACTGGCATCTAGCTAGTTTTCCCCAACATTTCAACCACTGTGTGTCAACTTTAGGAGAATGCCCACCTTCTCTACATGGCCACGATGCTGCAAAACTCGTTTTGTTTATCAAGTTCAATTCATATGATTCATGCGTTGTGTTGTTGATACCATCGGGGTTTTGTTGCTGTATTGCTTTTATGCCTCCACAGGAAAACACGCAGCTGCTCTGATCATCTTATTCCACCCCCAGAAACCCAAAATCCATGTCCTTGCTACATGGAAGATGCATTCCTGCCCCCCCACGAGCCTGACTCATTCCAGCATCGACAGAATCATCTGAAAGTCCAGAGTGTTCGCTGGGTGCCGGCAGCTCACATCTGTCACCCCAGCTACTCAGGAGGCTGAGATCTGGAGGATCGAGGTTCAAGGCCAGCCTGATCTTGGGATGAGATCAGCTGCCAAAAGCCGTTGTTAGTTATACACCTCTTGACTTTGCCAAGTTCTCAGCCTCAAGCGTTTTGTGATATCAACAGGAAACAAAGACACCTGCGAGACACCGTCTTGCCCACCCTCTGAGGCCACTCTGCTGCTTCCATGACCTTTGGCATTGGCTAAGCCAAGTTCTTGCTCTACCATCATCATTGAATGGCTGCCTCATCACCATGGGTGGACCGAAACCCACTCTTCCATGCCCCTCAGCCTTCTCGTGAACAGCTCCTCCAGAATGGCTTCTTCTTCGGGATCATCCTTGCTCCCTCATCCAGTTTTAGAGGCTCTGTTTAACTTCCATCTCCCTTTTTTTTGTTGGACATGGAGCTTGAACTCTGGGCCTGGGTGCTGTCCTTCAGTTATTTTGCTCAAGGCCAACACTCTACCACTTTGAGCCACAGCGCCACTTCCAGTTTTCTGGTGATTTATTGGAGAAAATGAGTCTCACGGACTTTCCTCGCCTGGGCTGGCTTTGAACCACAATCCTCAGATCTCAGCCTCTTGAGTAATTAGGATGACAGGCGTGAGCCTCTGGCACCCAGCTTTAAGTCCCATCTCTTACAGAAACTCTTCCTGGACCTTTGTGTTCTAATAGCAGAGTGTTCTCTTGGCCTCCCTTATAAGCACAAAAGCACGTGTTTGAAACACTGGAGGAGCCAAGCATGGTGACACACTCCTGTAATCCCAACCCTCAGGAGGCAAAAACAGGAACAATGTGAACTCAAGGCTAACCCTGTTTCATTAAGGAGGAAAAATATAAAAATCCAGTGCTCAGGGGTAGAGCACTTGCCTGGCGTGAGCAAAGCTCTGGGTTTTATACTCAACACTGCAAAAAGAATACAATAAAAATGGAATGGCTCTTCTGGGCTCTATTCTGTGCTGGCCCCCTCATCAGGCTTTTATTGACAGGCAGTAGACCCGCCCTTAACCCCCCTCTACCCCCCCCCCCCCGTCCTCCACTGACCTCCCTTTAGTCCTGACACCAACTCCTGCCAGACTTTGCTCACCCTTGTTGATCACAACAAAACCGATTCCGCTGTTACTTCCACCCTGTTTCTTTGTTTGTTTGTTTGTCTCTCTCTTCCAGGATATGTACCCAAGGACATAGCAAAGGGTGACAGAGGAGAGTACAAGTTGACACCCCGACACCCTGTCTGGGAACAGTAGCCCCCCAGAACTTCCCAACAGAGCAAGATTGCTTCTGACAACCTACCCACCATCCGTCATGCTTCAGGATCCTGCCTTGGACTCCTCACTCTCCCCTCCCGCCCGCCCAACCCCTGCGTCTGGAGAGGGGTCCTCGCTCTCTACTGTGTGATCCCCACTCCCCTTCCTGTCCAAGTGGAGGAATCCCCCCACCACCTATATCCCAGGCTCCGTCCAGCCCTGTCTCACCTGCAGGAAAGATTTCAGGAGCCCGTGTCTATCCATTTGCAGAACGTTCCCCAACAAGGGCAGAGGCCGGGGCCCCGGAGGGAGGTGGCCACGGGCCTTTGAGCCAGCCCTGAGCAGGAGAAGGAGGAGGCCAGTGAGGAGCACCAGGGAGAGGAGGACGCTGAGCTCCATGATCCTGGGCTGGGTGGTGTCCACTTCAGCCCAGCCTTGAACTTGCCCTTTTATTCTGATCAAGTCTCCTCACCCAGTTGGCCACGCCTCCCCTTCCTGCCTTTTCCCTCCCCCCCTTCCCCCCCTCCTTGTCCCCAAGTGCCAGCTCAGGGGAGGGGTGCAGGCTCCTCTGCTTCCTGCCCAGCCAGCCTGGCCACTCTGCTCCCCCACCTCAGCCCTAGAAACCATTTGGCAGAAGTGCACGAGTGTGAGTGTGTGTGCACATGTGTGTCTGTGTGTGTCTGTGTGTGTGTGTGTGTGTGTGTTTGTGTCCAAGACTGAGCGGGAGCTCCTATAGTAAAGGTATCTGCTTTACCATGCCAAAGGTGTGTTTGCCTTAGTCGAGCTTGTGGAGGGAGTCATTTGTGTGAGATCGAGGTGTGTGTATGTGTATGTGTGTATGTGCATGCACCTATGCGCGTGCAAGTTGTGCCCCAGCCCCATTGTACCCCCATCCACCCAAGGCCTCCCTGAAGACCCATGGGGCTCTTCCCAGGGTCTACCTGCTCCCGCTGGGAGGTCAAGAGTTGTAAGGCCCACAGGTAGAGGGGCCAGAGGGGACACTGAGGCAGCCAGTCAGATGTGGGGTCCTTGGGTCTCTGACTTCTGCCCACCCTGGTGTCTGCATTGGGGGTAGTTCTTGCTTCCTCTCTCTCTCTCCTCTCCTACTTCTCTCTCTCTCTGCTTCTTTGTCTGTCTGTTTCTTTTTGTGTCTTTCTCTCTCTGGGTCTCTTGTCTCTCTGTTTGTCTGTCTCTCTGTGTCTCCCTGTCTCTGTCTCTTTGTGTTTCTCTGTCTTTCTGTCTCTGCCTCTCTGTCTCTCTCTCTGTCTCTTTTTGTTTCTCTGTCGCTCTGTCTCTCTGTCTCTGTCTCTCTCTGATTCTCTGTCTCTGTGTCTCTGTCTAATCTGTCTTTCTCTGTGTCTCTTTCTCTATGTCTCTGTCTCTGTTTCTCTGTCTCTACATCTGTCTCCCTCTATTTCTCTACCTCTGTCTGTGGGTCACTATGTATCTGTCTCTGTTTCTATCTCTCTCAGACCCCGGACTCCAGAAGCACAAGGACCGTGCCGTGCCTCATTCGATGTTCGGCAGGTGCAGCCGAGGCTGAGTTCGCAGTGGATGGAAGTGCACCTGGCCCCTGGAGCCTGCCGAAGGCTTTTCTCCCAGCACTGCAGAAGAGCAAGCAATGGGGAGAGGAGGGGAAAGTGTGCCAGCCCACTCCCACAACAATGCCATTCATCCATTCCCGGGGCAGAGCCTCGGGTCCCCAGCACGTTTTGGAGATCTCACTTTTTTCCCTTGGACAGTCAGGACGGGGGATGGAATCACAAACAGGAGGATCACAGCCCAGGCTCGCTGAGGCACACAGCGACACTCCTATCTCACAACAACCTGACAGTGGCTCCAGGGCAGAGCACTGGCCCAGCAAACATATGAGGTCTTGAATTTGAAACCCCAGTGCTAGCCTAGTGCTAGCGCTCACACCTGGGATCCTAGCAACTCAGGAAGCTGAGATCTGAGGATCAGGGCTCAAAGCCAGCCTGGACAAGGAAAATTCCATGAGACCCTTATCTCCAATGAACCACCAAAAAGCCACACGTGGAGCTGTGGCTCCAATAGTAGAGCTCTAGCCTTGAGTGAAAGAGCTCAGGAGCAGCACCCAGGCCCTGAGTTCAAGCCACTAAAAACAGTGGGAATGTGGTGAGGGGTGGGGGTGGAGAGTAGACACAGAATCTTCTTGCAGTGTTCAGCAAAGTCAGGGACAGCTGGGTTGCGGCCCAGTGATCCTCGAGAAAAGCAAATAACAAGCAGCCGTCCACGTAAGGGTGAGATATGACTTTATATAATCTTGGAGGACTTTCCTGACCCCAGGACCTTGCTCCCGGCTATGCTGGGTGATATGGCAATGAACATGGGCCCCAGGCTTTGTGGCAGGAAGAGTATGAAGTGCTTAACACAGTACCTCTCTGAGGACTCTCATTCTGGAAGAGAGTTTGTCATCCCCTCCGTTTTCCAGATGGAGGGCAGCAAACAGAGGGAGGTGGAGTCTAGGTGTCATTACAGAGTGGCTTAGGCCACAAGGTTTGACATGGCAGCCCCTGGCCAGACTCGGCTGCAAAACATGGCCCAGGTGAATGGACCCATACCATTGAAATTTTTTTTTAATGAATTAAACTGATGCCAAGAGTCAGATGCTGGTGGCTTACTAACTACTCAGGAGGCTGAGATCTGAGGATCGAGGTTCAAAGCCAGCCCAGGAAGAAGTCTGAGAGGCTCCTATCTCCAATGAACCACCAGAAAACCAGAAGTGGCGCTGTGGTTCCAAGTGGCAGGATGTCAGCCTTGAGCATAAAAGAGCTAAGGGACAGCACCCAGGTGCCAAGTTCGAGTCCCATTACCAACAGAAAAAGATTTCTGAAGAAATTTTAGGGTTCTGATTACCATATGCTTTCACTGCATATCTTAATCAGTGTGCCTCTCTCACACACACTCTCTCCCCATCTCTCTCCAATCTCTTTCTCTAACTTATTTCCATATATCTCTATCTTGCTCTGTGTGTGTGTGTGTGTGTGTGTGTGTATCTGTCTCCATCTCTATCTGTGATAAGAGGTACAGGTGGAAATAGAGAGATGTGGAGGCAGAAGTCTGTCAGAGAGAGACTAGAAGTCTCCGCAAACGAGAGGCCAGAGTGAGGCAGAGACCAAAGATCCGGGAATGGAGGAGGAGCCAAAGGGGTTCAAGTTCAGGGTCCAGTGTCTGAGGGACCCACGGGAGCCACTCAAGCACAGGCAGGGCTGGCATCTGTCCAGATGTGTCTTCATGAAGCCCGCTCCTAATAATGTCTCAACTTTCATTGCTTTCGTGGGCAGCACATGGCAGGGAGGAAAGCGCAGGAGCCCAATTGTGCCATTGTACACACAGGACACTGTGCGCACAACAAGCCATGGTCGCAAGCAAGATCCTAAATATGTCCACTCTCCTGCCCACACTCGCCTTGAACCTCAGTCCTCGGATCTCAGCCTCCTCAGTGGCTAGGATGACAGTGTGAGCCACTGGCACCTGACAATGTGGATGGGGGGGGGGGGGGGGAGGGTTGGTTTTGGTTGTTTTTTTTCTATGTAGAATTTTTTTTCACTTTGATGCATTCCCATTGATCAGTAGTTGCTATTATTGTCTGAGCTATTGAAGTCTTCACTGGAATCGTTCTCTGCCTCAATCTTGATGTGTTTCCTCTCTATTTTCTTCTAGCTGTTTTAAGTTTCCGGTCTTTAATCTATTTTGTGTTGGTTTTTATACAGGGTAAGATGTAGCTTCAGTCTTCTGAACCCATTGTGAAGGAAGATGGCTTTCTTTCCAAATTTTGTGTGTGTGTGTGTGTGTGTGTGTGTGTGTGTGTGTGTGTGTGTGTGTGTGTGAGAGAGAGAGAGAGAGAGAGAATGTATGTCCTGTTGCTGATCAGGGCCTTCTTCACCTCCTTTTGTTTTGGGCGGGGGAGGGGGGAGGAGGATGAATCACAGAGAGATGGAGAGAAAAGCAGCAGAGCAAGGATGAGAAAGACACAGGGTGAGATGCAGAGGGAATGTGGGACAGGCTGAGAGTGGAAGCCAGGCCATGCTCTGGGGACATCCAGGCACCCGCTGCACCTCCTTCTCCTCTTCCTCCTCCTCTTCCTCCTCCTCCTCCCTCCTCCTTCTCTCTCTGTCTCTCTCCTTCCTCTTCCCCTCTCTCTTCCTCTTCCCCTGCTTCTTTCTCTTAGCAGGAAGCCATCAAGAACTTCCCTGCTCTGGGCTGGGAAGGTGGCTCAGTGGTAGAGCGCTTGCCTTGCATGCCTGAGGCCCTGGGTTCGATTCCTCAGCACCACATAAGCAAACAGAAAAAAGCCAGAAGTGTTGCTGTGGCTCAAGTGGTAGAGTGCTAGCCTTGAGCTGAAGAGCTGAGGGACAGTGCCCAGGCCCAGAGTTCAGGTCCCATGACCGGACCAAAAAAAAAGAAAAAGAAAAAGAACTTCCCTGGTCTAGGACTTTGCTCCTGCCTGGGTTGGCATCTGGCACTGAGCCCAGGGCCTCTCCAGCTCAGGCTTTCTGGTTACAAGGTATAAGGTGCTTTACATTGTAACTCACTTAATTTTAACTCTCTAAGAGGACAAGATTGTCCTCACCAAGTCGCACAGCAGGCTAGAGGTAGAATCCAGTGTCACACCCAGTCATGCCCAGCAACCTGCTATCTTCACTGTCTCAGAGGGATGTAGAGGCAAGGAGAGGGACAGAAGCAAGGGCTGGGGATGGGTGGCTCAGGTACGGAATCCTAGCTACTCAGCAGACTGAGATCTGGGGATTGTGGTTTGAAACCAGCACGAGCAGGAAAGTCTGTGAAACTCTTATCTCCAATTAGCCAGCAAAAAAAAAAAAAAAAAACAGAAGAGCTGTGGCTTCTCACCAAGCCTGGTACCCCATGTCCAGGCTCAGCAAACTTCCTTCTCCTCTGGGGAATGTGTATGAGTCTAGCTAGCAGCTAACAGGTGGTTTTTCTCCCTGAAGGTGCTGGACAGGTTGCTGCATGCATGAAATGTAAAGTTTACACAGGAAAACAAAAAACTGGCTGTGAGAGCTGCAAGGCTGAGATAAAAGAAGATGGAAGGAGGTGGAAGGAGATGGAAGGAGGTAGAAGGAGATGGAAGGAGGTGGAAGGAAATGGAAGGAGGTGGAATGAGACAGAAGGAGGTGGAATTGTGGGAGCCAGCGTAGCAGAGGGCTTCCCCCATGCTGTCATCCCTACCATGCCCCACCCCAACCTGTCCTGCAGGGCATCAACATGGGTGGGTCACTGGGCAGCTTGAGGGGCAGGCCACTGGATATGGAAGGGCAGGAGTTCGGGGTCAGAGAAGAAGAGGCCAAGAAAAGTGAGCAGGAAAACAACAGGCTGAAGAAAGGAGATTGTCACTCTTCAGAAAGTTAGAGGACACTCATGCTCCGGTGGGGAATGTCTG